ACATGAAGGCATGATATTAAGTAGATTCAACATAAAAAAATTATGGCAACAAAATGACAATCAATAACATTAAATAGATTTTAAGTAATGTGGTGCCAATTCTAAGTTGATTTGAACAATTAATTTATGAAAAGATAAATAACAATTGCAGTTTAAATGTGTTGAATCAAGTAACATTGTTCCAAGTTATGAGTTGATTGAATCCAAATCCTTCTTATCCTGATATTTAGAAAGATAGCATCAATTTCACACATACAATTAGTAAATATAAATCAATATCATCCAGATAATTAGTAAATGTAAATTAATTCCACCTAATTAATTAGTAAATCTAAATCAGTTTTTCGCAGATATTTACTATATCTTAATTACTTTTTTTCAGATACCTAGTGAATATTAATCAGTTTTACCTGTAAAATTGATTTGGATTTACTCAACATTTGCCATATTATTAGTAAATCCAAAATATTTCAACCAATGATATCACTATTTTGTATTTAATAGTTTTGTTTAAATTTACTTAATCAAATCAATAGTTTTTAATCAAAGTTGAAGTTCTTAAAATCTATTCAATTATATTAAGTGCCACTTTGTTGCCATATTTTTTTTAAGTAGACAATGGTCAAACTTTTCTGAGTGTAGTTGACCCTGACCCCCACCTCCTATCCCCTATGATCCAACACTATTGTCTTATAGTCCTCCCATCTCACAGTAATCCTTTAGGAACCACCGGTTGGAAATATGACCAGTCAGACTGGCATTGGCATTTGGCATTGGCAAAACTCTGAGAATGCAGCTGTAATCGTTGTCACAACACCTGAAATAACTTTAGAGTGTAGTTTTGTTTGATCATTGTTTTCTTGCATACTTAAAGGCATTTTGTTTTGTTTTTATTTATATTTCTTTCACTTGCAATTGGCATGTAGGTATGTACATCATACTGTGTTTAGAAGGATGCATCGTTGGTGTGACTGTGTACTATGATAGACCAGAGTGGACCAAATTAACATATGCTATTGAGTCAAATTCATTTTTTTAACCCAATATCACTCATCACTAATTTACACTCTGTGGGTTTACAGAATACACACACCCCCTATCCTTAGACCCTAAAAACAATTTAAAAAAAAGAAAAAAGTTTGTTGCTAAAATTTTACTGGCAAATCTGAAGGTTTGGACAAAGAAAGTAGAGCAAACTGAGAGAAGGAGAGAGAGAGAGAGAATGATAGAAAAGTTATTGAGGCTGTTTTATCATGCTCTATTGAGTTTGACATTTCAGAGTGCTACAGGTTGCAGTCGTTCTTGCTCTTTTCATCTTTTTTCTCTCTCTCTCTCTCTCTCTCTCTCTCTCTCTTACACGCACACACACACGTGACAGTTGACACACTGGCCCTATGCTCTCTGGTTCCCTGGCAGCCAAAGCCCCCTTTTTGCTCCAGGGATTAAACTGTGGATTAACACATCACACACTCACACACATATAGGCATGTATACACACATACTTTTACAGAGTGCAGAATGACACAGACAGTGGAGCCAGGGGAGTTTTGGAGTCACCCATATCATATTTTACAGTAGCTTTGTTCTACAGCTCTGCACTGACGGAAACTTCACTCAAACAGTTTATAACATAAAACCAGAGTCTCTCTGAAGTTTCTTAAAGATTACTCAAAAGTTTTACCATCTGAAAATGTTAGAACACAGCACCGTCTGTTGTTTTCAAATACACAAATAATTAAAAGTGTCTGTCAATGTCCAGACTCTGTGTCTCTATAATTAATCAGGCTCCCTGCATACAAAAGTGTATTAAATTAATTCATACACTAATCAAAACGACAATGGATACAGCAGAAGCTCACCCAATTTGTACATTTTAAATCCACCAACTATTCAGCGTGATGTACTGAAATATCCTGGTTGGATTGAATTATGGTCCCAGCGACCCTCCATTCTGTGTTAGTCAAATGAGACCCCCTTCCGACATAAATGTAAAATATAAAAAAGGTGCTATTTCAAGCAGCAAACTCCATGCTTTTATTTAGTGTGGCTGCTGCTTAAACTGCCATCTATTAACTAAACTGATCATTAGATGAGATGAGTCAAGACCTGGGTGGCTTTAGTTTCCTATCTGGGGACAGGATGGTCAAATTTGTGATGATTTGTTAAAACAAAATGAAATTCAAGGACCGACATTTTAAATAATCTATGAAAGTAACAGCAAGTATAAAGTGGCCACTACAACAAGCTGAAGCAATCAGATTGTGCTACACGCTAGCTACCAACAAACTAAATATTATGTCCTATCGTGCTTCATCTAAAAGACAAAATAGTTTCTGATGACATTTAAAAACTGACAAATCAAATGCACACCAACAGGAGGGAAGAATGGAAATCATATCCCTTTTTGTTGTTCTATTGAAGTGTACCATGTTGTAGCCACTGAAGTATACAGGTCCAAATCAAAAACACCCCATTTAATTTGTATATTTTGACACCATACTCACAAACACATTCTTATCCTAACACCTTAATCCACTCACTAAAGTAACACTTGTGAATTCCCCGGAGGTTAGGGTTAGACTAGATTACAGAATGAATGGGAGCCTAATCCATTCTGTAAAGCCTGTAAAAGCAGTATATAATTGACCATAAAGGTAGTGCCATACGGGAAGCTTGGCTCGTTTTATCTTCTCTGATAAAACACTCACGGATTACACCCTCCTTCCTCCTCAACACACACATATACACAAAACCCCAACGAGCAGAGGATTAGTGGTATTATTGTACAGTATTCCCTAGAGGTAAGATCACCTGGTCTTCAGCATCAGAACAGATCAAAAACATGTGGGCATTGCTTTAAATCTGACTGTAATGGGGTCTCATAGTCCTAAACTACTGATAACAGCGTTCAGTCCCTCCAGATTACCATAGAAAGGGTGTATTAACTACAGGGCTGGCACACAATCACTTGTGTATATATGCATGAGTCTGGGCTTAAAACTGAAGTGCAGGGCTTTGGTGTGAATGTGTAGTCTGCAGGCAATCCTTTATTCTGTGGAGAATATGTCCCTCATATTCTTTATAGACCTTTAGTTCATTTTTGAGTCATCCACGTACAAGTGACTGACCATGCATCTTCTTCCAGTACACTCAGTGTCATTTCTTCTTAAATGGAGCGGTTAGATGTTAAGTCATGAGCGAGCTACAGTAAGGAAGGCCAAGTGTTTGTTCATTCATTCATTCATTCATTTATTGTCTTACTCAACCAATCCAACCTTCAGCTCTTTTAAATAATAATTCTGGTTATTCATAAATATGGTTATATTTGCGCAGTTCTGACCATCATTTCAGTTGCATGTAAAAGACTCTACTCACCAAAGTAATTGCCGAGATCTTGGAACATGGCAACATCAAGACAAAACAGTCAGACAAGCCGAGAAAAGCAAACTGAACCTGAACTGAACCTGATTTACTGATTTGCATTGGTGCACCTGCATTAAAGATCAAAATGTGATCTCCCCGATGAAAAACGTGTGCATCAGATACAATTAGGGATGAACTTGTGATGCATCATTTCATCATTACATCTTTGCACTGGTAAAATTTGATTTATTTATAATTATTAGTAGAGGTCCCCATGCCTTTATTATTTAGAAGTGGGAGCCATATTATGTGACCAATAATTTTATATTTTGATTGATTCCTCTCTCTAAACTGTTCCTCGAGTTGCTCAAGAAGTACCAAAGAAATTAAATCAAACTTTCTGTACCCTATTTCTCTGCATCACATCATATACATATACATATACATCATATTGATTTGCGTTGTGTTGAATCCAATCATGTCAAAATACACTGCATCGCAATAGGAGCAAATTGCATCTCGTATCTCATTGGTAGTTGCTGGAATGTTAGCGATGCATCAAAATGTGTATCACATCGGCCTGAGTGATGGAGATACACCGTTTGACTGGGTAGTGAATAAGATAGCAGCTCCAAGGTTAGGGTGAGGAGACTTCCGAAAGGAGCTCAGAGTTTAAACGCTGCTCCTTCACATTGAAAGAAGTTGGTTGATGTGGTTCAAGCATCTGATAAATATTCCTCTTGGAGGAAGAGAGCAACATTAGCATTTACTTCTAAGTCAAAGCTAGCTTCACCGTTTGCCTTCATTTTCGTTGCCAAATAAGTTTGGCTAACCCGGGGTTAAAACACAAGTTTCTTGCCCCAATGGACATGTTGCCATGTCACACTTGTTGAGTACGATGTTCTTTTTACTATTAAGAACGATGCAAGAAGAGCACAAAAACAAGATCCAAGCTGTTGAAAAACATAATTCTAATTTTAATTAATCATTTGAGGTTGAAATGTGTTAAAAATCATGCCAAAATGAAGAAAAACACAGATAAACACAAACTTCACTAACAAAAAGACGGTCACAGGCTTAAGCTTGTCGTCAGGGGTAAGGACAGACTGAGGGAAATAAATAAACAAGTGTTTATGCAATTTCTTCCTCATCCATAAATACTTTCTAGCCTTTTAGTTAGCTTTACTGATGACTCTTGTCACTGGAAAGCCCTGTTACTGGTGTAACATCAAATTTACCAGCGAGTCGAGGCCCGGTCTCTAATGTGAATTTGCTGGGTGTTTTACAGACTGCAGTGGCAATAATTAGCTACCTTTTCCCTGGCTGTGGCTCATTACAAGTCCACAGCGAGAAGCGAGGATGGCGAAATAGGGTATTGTTAAATTCGGCTTAATTAAAGCAGCCAATTAAAACACTTATCACATTAGTCAGGTGTGCTCTAGAGAATGTATGCATTTAACTGGTTTAAAAAATGAGGAAAAGAGCAGATCACTATCGCTGCTTATTAGTCCGCTGTGTGCATGACCATGTACATGTGTGAGTTGGTGGGTGTGTGTCAGAGGCTCCAGGGAGTAATATCTCCTCACTTTTGGAAGTGAAAATTAGTTTGTGTATGTGTGTGTGTGTGTGTCCCTCACCTCACGTTTGCCTCCGTCTTGGAGGCAGCTTGGTGGAATTGCTCCTTGCTCTGTTCATATCTTTCCAAATTCTAAATACATGCAGGAAAACACAGGAAGACATAAACAGAAAGCATTAGTTGAGGATTTTTACAGCTTGTAATGTGTGCATTAGCGTGTGTCTTCTGTTCTTTTGTGTGTTTCTTAATGGACAAAGACTTGGATTTGTTTGTATGTAACATTTATTAGCAGTTTCATATGTTCACAGCACAATCACAATCAGATTTTGAGCAGCGGCTTCGTGCCGTGAATCTTTTTTGTCTGAGACGCAAAGTGTAAAAAAAGGGTTATTGTCTGACAACCACACACAAATGTTGTGTCTTGTCCTGGTGGGCTGTGAGTAAAAGAAAAGAAGATACTCTGTGAGGCATGGAAGGCATGGATAGACCTAATTAGAATAAAGTAAGGACATATTTGCCAAATATAAAGAGATTGAAAAACATCACTTTTGAAATCAATAATGCTGACAAATGTATTCATGTATATTTCATATACATAAGACCAATCTTAAAAATAACACTGGTAACAAACATAGGCAAAGTGCTGGGTTTTGGAGAGTCACTTGCAGGGAAATACTCTGATTCAGTTGCTTATCAATAGTTAAATGGTAGATAGAAGATAGATAACCAAGCTAAATATGAAGTTACAGCCAGCAGCCAGTAAGCTTCGCATTAAGACTGGAAACAGGAGGAAACAGTTAGGTAACAAAACACTGCACCCAGCCCCAGTAAAACCACAACCACTCCGGTTTCTGTATGGGGTAAATAAAAGAAACAGCATGTTCATTAGTGAGCTGTCAGGAGTAGGGATATAAAAAATGTTTTCGATAATCATGACATGAAACTTTCATATAATCCCATGCCTAGCTACAGGTGGTAGTGGGCTCTTTATTTAACAGTGCCATGCTAGCTGTTTCTGACTGTTTCTTGTCTAAATGCTGAGCTAGGATTATTGGCTAATGCCTGTCGCTTCATAGGTAATAAGCAGACATAATGGAATTGATCTACTGATCGAACTCCAGGCAAGAAAGTTGAATAAGCAGATTTCTGAAGATGTCAAACTATGTCTTTAACTTCCTGGAAAACAGTCATTTCATTCACACTTTTAATAGAAGATCTTCAGTGCAGACTTTATCCTGTGGACATACATAAAACATACCACTAAATCCACCACAGACTAGTTTAATCAAATAGTCCTTCTTTCCTAAACTCATATTCCTATGGTTTACTCCTATGGTTTGTCCCCATGTATGACTAAATCATTTCTTTCCCCCATCTGTAGCAGCTTCCTGTTCTCCCTTGTCTTTCCATTTTATGACTTCTGGACTTTAAAGTATAAACTCCTTTGCGAGTGATCGACTTTCGAATTTCACCTGCAATTTCTCTTTTAACCCTCTAAGATGAACCACACAGGAAACGTTGGGCCCAAATTCACTAACACAAATCTTACAGTACGAAGGGAAAGTTGTCAAGCTATATCTTCATCCATAGGGAGGCTCTGCCATTCCAGCTTGTTCTAGTCAAACTAAAACTCAGCAGTAATGAGTTGCGCTACTCATACATTTTTTAAGAAATCGTGATTTCTGACTTTGCAGCTTGCCCGGTGAGCACCAAACTCCAAGCAAGCAGGCAGTGGTATTATGATAAAACAAGCAGCTAATCCACAACAACTGCAGCCTTTCCTCTGCTGATCCTCCTTAGGCCTTCCAGCGCCAAGCATCCCCTCCCCAAATATTTAACCAGCAAACTGTACCAGCTGGGGAGGGGAGGATGATGGGGGAAGAAAGAGAGAAAAGGCTAGAAGGGAGGTAAGAGAAGAATAAAGAAAGAGAAGCAGCAGAAGGCATGGAGGTAAGAGGCAAGAGAATAGACAGGGGAAAGAGGAGGAAGAGGGAGAGGGATTTGTGAGTTGGGATTTTTTGGGGTAAAACTGTTTGCCCTGACTACTTAGGGTTGGATTGGGCTCTGTGTGTAATAAGTCTGTGCATGTAAGAAGGTATGCAAGGAACAAAAGGAGCCCTGCGTGTGACAGATGTACACTGTACTGCTCATACAGGGGCTGTTAAATCTGAATGTATTTGAGGAAAATGGGAATTACACAGTACAAAGCTACGTATGGCTTATGGTGGCTGAAAGAACACTTCAGTTTCACAAAGTGTTCCTGTCAGGGGCAAAGCAATTGGGGCTGAGCTAGTGAACACAACTGGCAAGTGTCTGGCAACAGTAGCAGTCCTGGTCATGCCACGACTTTGAAAGTATGGCTATTATCTTGTTAAGTGACTTTAAAACACACAGCTGAATTACAGTGCCGCAACCAACACTGAACCACAATGTGGTTGATGACTGTGCTGCTAATAATGACAATGGAATGAGAATGGGAATTAATTTAGCCAAACGGGACTTCAACTCACACCATCAATCCAAATGAATTATACTCGTGCAAATGCAATGACTATTATTTACACTTCAAGTCTATTTTTTCCACAATACGTGCATAAACGTGAGGTTGATGCCCAGTTAAAAGGCACTGAATACAAATATCTATCCAAATTTTGCAAACAAGTTGAGAAGAGTGTGATAGAGCCAGCTCCAGTTTGTAATCCCACAGACTCTCGCCTAGTGACTGCCCACTTCTCCCATCATGCCAAAATGCAACTTTTTGTAAGAGTTTGTAAAGTGAGAACATGGTGGTTTACGTAGGTAATTTTCAATTTTGTGCTGGTTTATAACCATTAGTGAGGTGGCTGTTACAATTCTTGACATGGTCATTCATGCTAACATTTTATTGTCGTGCTGTGATGTAATTCTCCCACCACCGCCAGCCGTGGCGATCGGGTCGCAAATCGGCAATCTCGAGCAGCCACAATCGGACAAACTATAGATCGACTACATCAACACATACTTGCAGCTTGTACATTACTGGCATCAGTTATGGCTACATCATTTGTTCTTTTTTTTTGGATATGACCAGGTTTATATAGCAGGTTTATAGAATTTCAAGCCCAGGATTGCCCACATGCTCAAGGACCAGTTCCAGTATGTACATTTAAAGTGTCAGTCTTACATAGAAAAACTGAAAGGCCCGAAAACATGCAATCAAAGTCATTTGCGCTTTAGGATGAATTATCCTTTTACCTTACTCACAGGGACAAAGGAATACATGTTGCCATGGTGACACTAGTGAATTAAGGGGTGCTTGCTCAGTTTCTGATCCAGCAGCTGGCGTCTGCAGTGTATCTTACTTTTTGCACTGGCACTGAACTGTCACCCCCCCCTCTTCCTGCTGCTCAACATATTTCCTCCACTCCTTTTCTACCCCTTTACAAAAAGCTCACCTCCATACACAAACTACATACTGTAACTTCATCTCCATTCATTTTCAACCATTCATCGTTCCTTTATTATCCTCTGTGATAACATCACACATACATAACCTACCTGAACTTGCCACTACAGATGAAAGAGTACACTGGTTTGCTGCAAAATAGACATTTTGCTATGCAATAATTTCAGTTAGGAAAACTCTAAACATATCAGCAAAGATACTGGTTTTTGGTATCCTTTACCCTCTTTGTCAATATCTCACTCTTCAAACCCACTGCGCTTCTACATTGGCCTGTGAGAATTCTTACTTCTGACTGGCTGGAAGGTGTGGCTCAACCGTAGTAACCAGTACTGCTGAACAAGAATCATTTTTATATCAAAATCGGGATTTGAAAGAATTTAAAATTTGCAGGAGATGCAATTTCAATTGTAATTGCAAAGTTTAGGACAGCAACAGTGGCTGATTCTGTAAGCTGCAAAAGCATCTTTTGTGTGGAACCCTGTTTATTTAGAAGTTGAGAGAAAGACTGTCCTCAACAAAAAGCAACTGCATCTAACTGAGCACCACTCGCAGGCTGTGAAGTATATTGGTGAAACTCACGAAAAACACTAAAGGCCCTATCTACAGCCAGTGTTTGGTTTGTCCATTCTGGGCTGCTGTAGAAACATGGTGGTTAAACATGGCAACTGTAGATAAAAATGGATATTTTTAACTTATGTTCAGGTGATTTACGTATGAATATTATATTCCATTTCGGTTAATATATTGTCCTAAATGTTAGGCACTTGACCTTTAACCTATAAAGAACTTTGAAAGCTCTTTTTGTCAACCTTTCTCATTTTTCCCGCTATGTCAATCTAGTCTTCAGCCAGAAAAGGTGAATTGTGGCTGCACTGAGGGTTCCCTCTATATTTCCTCATGCTTTCAACCTGAAAACTCAGCCAACAATAATAGTGGTGTACAGACGATATTTTAAGAGAATGGACACCTGCTGGACCAGTATTAGGGATAAAAGCAAAGAGAAAACTCATGGTGTATAAAAACTGAATAATGATGCAAATGTCTATGATAGAATAACACTGTTCATTATTTTTAAAGATGGCAATCAAAATTTAGAGCCAGGAAAAACAAGCCAATATCATCAAGCTTGTTAGCTGTGAAAAGGTTGCAACAGCTGTACTTTACCACCATCAACCATCAACAGCCAAACAGATTTCTGCTTCCCTGCTGGTGATGATTGCAGCCATTCCCCCCAGATGTCTATACATGTTTACAACTACCCTGCAACTACGGCAAAACAGTTCTTAAATTTGGTGCTTGGAGAATGTTGGAGTTAATGGCAAGCTTAAAAGTTATTAGGTAGATTTATTTTCAACGTTTATTTCCATTGCTGGCTCATTAAAAAAAATTTGATTTTGTTAAAGGTGATGCTGAATTGTATAAAACACAATTTACAAGCTACAGATCAGGTTAAACAGCCTCTCACACAAGCTACAATTGGTCCGAGTGGAACACTGATAAAGCTGTTCTATGGTGACATATAGTATTGCACTGCAAGATAAGAAAATACACAGACACTTGCCAAAGCAGCAAAAGGCCTCATTTTTGCAGGTATCACAAACATTGGTCAACATGTGGGTGGCAACGCAAGTCTCAGACACACACACACACACACACACACACACACACACAAAAAACAAAAAAGAGGGTGCTCTTTGATCTAACTGTAAAAGGAGCAGTCTTTTAACCCACACACACTCCCACTTTATCTAACCTTTCGGTCTGACCTAACGGTGGCAGCGGCGTGCACTGAACACAAAAGAATTTTCGATGGTGTCACACTACTGACCCTGGGCTCCGTGTGGACTTGTGTGTGTATGCTGCGTATGCGAGCTCTGAGAGGTATGTCTGTGTGTCATATTCTATCCATACATCCTATATGCTTAAATGTATGTAGTCACTGTAGCCATTGAGGGGTCACAGAAGTCACTAATGGTAGACCCAGTCAGCTAATCGTTCCAACAACAACCCTGATAACATCAGCGGGGACCCTACAGCACACATAGACAACATCCATATGCATACTGGCATCCACTGTTTTGCTGTATTGCAGACCTGCATCAAATTGTAGCGAGATTTAGCTTGTTAAGAAGTTTGAGAGGTAGGATTGGGACAGTAGTTATTAAAGCTAAAACTGAAATGTAATTTTATGGTCTGCTTTGTAATTGCATGTCCTTGGTAACATGCTACGTCTTTGGTAAAAAGAAAACCATCGATCATCACCCCTGTCGGCTGCATATACCAAACAGAATCCTGTTGGTTCTCGAGTTGATTTAAACTTAATTTTAGGAAATAGTTTGACATTTTTGAAAATGTTTATTCACTTTTTTGCTGAGACTTAGATGATAATATTGATACCACTCTCATATGTTTCTGTTGAATATGAAGCTGCAGCCAGCAGCTGGTTCGCTTAGCTTAGCATAGACACCAGAAGCAGTAAAAAAAAAAAAATCCGCCAACAAGCCCCTTTAAAACTCACTAACCTGTAACACTTTCATGTGTTAGTCACTACAAAAATGTAGTAAAACAAAAGGGGGTCCTGGGTGTTATGTGGCAGAATGCAGGCCTGGCTGTGAATCAACCACACACACCTGCCCACCCACCCAAAGGTCTGAGGGCTAATGGTGCATTTCTCATATATCCAAAAAGATTTGTCCTCCTCCCTGTAGTAAGAAATATTAACAATAAAGTCCAAAATCACTTTAATGATGCCCTTTGACCGCACAAAGAGAAGCCTTTCTTATTTTGTAGTATTTGAAAGAGAAAATGATGTTTTAGGTTAACTGATGTGCCCACATGCAGTTAAACCCAGCCAGCTGAAACTTCTTAAAGCTTATAAGTTACAGGACATTTCAACATTTATCCCCACACCTTTAGAAGTTCTGTGTCACAACCAATTAACATATTTTTCTGTCTCTCAGTGCCTTCATCTGGACACTTTGTACTTTAATTACAGTAAATGCAGCTGGTTGGATCTCACTGAGTGTTTACCACTGTTGAGGAATGTACACAAGCATTTTTTTCCCTCAGCCAAAATAATGAGGCAAATGGAATGTAAGCCGCAACTCTGCAATGTTTAGTAATGTTAACTGGTTATGAAATTCATATCTTCATCTCCAGATGGGTGCAGCCTCAGTGGAAATATTGCTAACAAGCTAAACTAATAAGCAGATCCAAAGCCCTCGCAGCAGCATATTGAGCAGATAGCTTTCCACAGGATGAAAGCGTTAAACTTTGACTCGGTCTACATACGGCCCAGAGTGTATGCATTTCCATAAGAAAGTGCAGCACAGCAAAAAAGTGGAGTTTTAATACAGTATTTAAAAAATAAAAAAAAACTCAAGTGCCGATCAGACAACCAACCTGGCTACATCGTGTCAGGAACACACACACACTCACACACACACACACACACACACACACACACACACACACACACACACACACACACACACACACACACACACACACACACACACACACACACACACACACACACACACACACACACACACACACACACACACACACACACACAATGTTCTCTATATACATGTTAATATATACTATACTATATACATATGCGTGTGTGTATGCGTGTGTGTATACAGTATGTGTTGCGTGCATGCCATCTTAAATACTGTGAGTCCTCTATGTCTCTGTTTGGCCAGGAAAAAAGGAACTGCCATTGGCATTGTGTGTGTGTGTGTGTTTGGTGTTCAGATATTTCTGGTGCACACAACGTGAAGGCCCCTGCTGACAGCGTGTCAAGCAACCTGTCAGGCTTGGAGGAGGATTATTATCTCCTTCTGTACGCTCTATTTCCACCAGCTTCAAACTATACTCCACTATGACAAGACTGTGTGTGAGAGAGCGAGAGAGCAAGACAGATAGTGAGAGACAGAGGGAAAAAAGACAAAGGAACAATTAGGCAGATAGAAAAGGTGTGTGTGAAACTAACAAAAGCTATATGCCCACATCAATAAATAAATGTTACTGCTGCTTTTCTTGTAGTGACATTTTGTAAGAAGATGGGGATGGATAATCCAACAAGTACACTCCTGGATTGTCAAAACAGTAGAAAAGATCGACAAGCATGAATGGTGTTTAAGGTCTTCTGTCTCAGCTAAATTCCTAATGCTACGCTCACCTTGGAGAGGGGGTGGAAAGATACAATACAACATGTTTAACTGATGTGTTCTGTATTTGACAAACCAACAAAACTTTCACTTGTACCACTTTTTCCACCAAAGAACACCTCGGTTTTTTCAAAGATGTCTAGTTAAACATGAATTCTATCCAGATTGTTTCTCAAGTATTAGACTGCAAGTCAAATTGTAATAATAAGGAATAATTTCCCAATGGATGTTTTTCATTTCCAGTTTCAGGAGGCAGGAGTAAACCAGGACGTATGTTAATGCAAAGGGTGAGATAACATTAACATTAGCCTAGCTCAGTTTGACTTGACTCATCGTGGTTCAGTTCGGCTGAGCCGTTTGAGAAAACTAAACCTCAAGCATTGGGAACATTTTGAGCAGTCAAACAGACCAAAGCCAAGGCATTACATGGCTTCTGGTGCAGTCAGTTGAGGTGCAAACACACTGAGCAATTCACGTATTTTACATATACAGTACACGTGCACCTGAATATACAGTATGCATGCAAAACATATCTCTCCCTCTCTGTCTGTCTGTCTCTCTGTCACACACACACACACACACACACACACACACACACACACACACACACACACACACACACACACACATTGCACATACGCACACATAGAGGTCTGTCTACAAACATCCTAAGCCCAACAGCAAACACAGCTTGTGCCACCCGTATGTCAGCCTGCCAGTCCTCTACTCCCTCTGCAAACCCAACCTGTTACTAATGAGACTAACACAAATAGCCAGGCATCTGACACCAAGACCTGTGTGTGTGTTTCAAATGTGTGTGAAGACTATTCTTCAAGGTAATAAATGTTTATTTAGGCTGACTGCATGGTGATAAGAATACAGATTTTTTGTTATGGTGAAGGAAGGAAGGAAGGAAGGAAGGAAAGAAAGAAAGAAAGAAAGAAAGAAAGAAAGAAAGAAAGAAAGAAAGAAAGAAAGAAAGAAAGAAAGAAAGAAAGACATCTTTCTTGTCTTCTTTTTTGCAGGACAGGATTGGACACGCCATGCCTAAAAAGCCCAAACTTCAGATTTAACCAAACAGAAAAAAAGCTTATTGTTCGAGTCAGTGGCTACCAAGAACTCTATCCGCTTATGGTAGCTTATGGCAGACACTAAACATAACCTCTACTAACATGCACACACACGCACATACACACATTTTTTTTTCTAAAGATTTATTCCATTCTTGGATTGAGATTTTACCTTCTTTAAATTTTTCCAGCAGCAGGCAGAAGTAAACAAATAATTGACAAAAATGTATATACAAATGCAAATGAATAAAAGGTTGAGTGAGTGAGTGAAAACAAGTGGAACACTGTAGCGATGGCACTGTAATGTTATGGCTGCCCCGCGTGACTCCGACTGCTCCCACCACTCCCT